TGCGGGTAGAAGGGAAACGTTTTCCAACAAAGCTAAATCAGGAATAACATATTTTCTTCAGGTTTGAACCGACTTGATCAGGCCGAGGCTTATCTTGCACAAGCCCAATGGACGATGCTCAAGACCCAGCATCAGTGTTCAAACGCTATTCGTTCTCAGCTTCAGCGTAAACTGGCGCTTCTATTTGCTGCGAAAGGTGACTACCAGGCAGCGCTTGAAAGTCTAGCCCAAGATGTGAGTTACGGAGCATTCTGTAATAATTTTTATTCGAATATGCATGCCACAGAAGCGGAACGTTCGTAAGTTATCCTGAACAATAAAATAAGTTACTGTCCTGGCCTCTCACTGTAACTGAAGGAATTAAAAAAGCACCAGCACCCAAGTACGTTATTATTTATCAAAGATAAAAGCTAAATGCCCAGACACGCGTACTAAGCTGATTATTAAGTGAGAGTAGCCGAGTTGAAGAATAATGCAATTGACAAAATCGTGAAAACTTCGCTGAATCGGTGGGATTCGAACCCACGTCAACAAGTAGGTCAACCAACTTTCTGCAAACTTAGATACGAGGCTCAGCGTGAGCCGTGAATCTAATCAATTTTGGGTCGATTTACCCGCCCAACTAATCTTTGGCTCATCAGTGGCTCCCTTAGCGTTCCTTGTGTGCCTTCCAGTGGATCCTTCTTTCTCATCCTCCACGTTCGCGAAGGAACTGCGTAGGAACTTAACCGAGTGAAATTTATCCATCAGAAAGCACGCCAGGGATGCTAAGACATCCACTTTTGGGCCAGAAATCTCGCAGCTGCATTATATGGAGGCACAAAATGAAAGAAGAGCGTGTGTCTGGGCTTTTAGCTAATGTCTGTGTCGTCGGAATGGTAAAAAAATTCAGTATTTGTATGTGTAAGGAAAAAGGATGGTCGAGCAGCGGATCACTTTGTTTAGTATTCTGAGCTCAGGATAATAAACCAAGTGATCCGGTGCTCGACCATCATTCTTCCTTACCCATGCAAATACCTGGAACACGAGCATTCTCCTTCATTCATAAGTATTTGTCTACTTCTAATGGCCTGCGGTGGTTTCTCAACGGAAGCTGCGAGATTTCAGTTTAAATACGCACAATTACTGGGTAGAAGTAAATCTGATCGCCGGAACAAGAAAGTTATTCGCTTGACTTTTCGATATCTACCGCGAATCCATCATCAGAGACCCGCTTCTTCGATTAAATCATAACAACGTTCCACCTGAGTCTGAACGGCTTTGCTCCGAGGGCTGTACTCTAAGTCCGCACTTTCATTTCTTCGGAAATTAAACAGGACAATTTCACAATTCACAAGAAAAGAGGTAGACATTCTGGACCATTTTTTGATGAGTCAATTCTTAGAAGTCCATACTGAAATTAAATCACCCCCACAGCCTGCGATTCAAAGTTATGTGAGTATTTTCAAATTGGATTTCTGCATTTGGTTATCGGACCGGAGGTGATACTTTCCAGAGTGTATGCACCATGTTTAATTTCTTGGACTGTGATGGTTCAAACGCTGTTTGACTATATACCCGTAAATCACACAGTTGGAAGCATAGCCGTTAGATACCGAGGCAATAATGAATCTCGATACGATGAATTG